GCTTCTGCGTCTTTGGGTGCTCTGGAAATTCCAGAGTTTTGCGGAGCGTCCATGCAAATGTATGGGATTCTCTGGCTATTCTTTGGAAGGTTTGGGGAAGTGTGTTGTGAGAGTGATCACCGGGAGCCTTGTGGACGCTCCTTGTTGTCAGAGGGTTCTGAGGTGCCTTCGGGTGCCTTCGGGTGCCCTTGTGGTTCCTCGGGTGCCCTGGCGATCCCCAGAGTTTCGAGGACCTTCTGATGATGATGATTCTGGCGATTCTTACCATGGCGGTGATGATGATTCTGGCGAAGGGGGGTCACGGGCCCTTCAGGTGACTTCAAAACGCTATCTGGTGTGTTTCTGGTTTCGGGGATGTCCATTCGGAGGGAGTGCTCAACGGGAGCCCTGCGGGTGCCATCCCGTTGTTGGATGTCTCCGAGGTGCCTTCGGGTGCCTTCGGGTGCCTTTGGGTGCCTTCGGGTGCCCTTCTGCTTCTTCGGGTTCTCTGGAAATCTTCAGAGTTTTGCGGAGCGTCCATGCGAATGTATGGGATTCTCCGGCTATTCTTGGAAGGTTTGGGGAAGTGTGTGGTTGGAGTTATCAACGGGAGCCTTGTGGGCACTCCTGGTGTCAGAGGGTTCTGAGGTGTTTTCGGGTGCCTTCGGGTGCCTTCGGGTGCTTTCGGGTGCCTTCGGGTGCCCTTGTGGTTCTTCGGGTGCCCTTGCGATTTCCAGAGTCTCGGAGGCTTCTTGGAGCGTCTTGGAGGCGTCGTGGACCGCCTGGTGCTGTCTAGAGCGTCTTCGAGCGGGCTGGAGTCTTCTGGAGGCTCTCTTGGGCGGTGTTGGGGATATCTTGGCCCGTCTTGGGGCGCTGTTGGGTCGCCTCCGGGCGTTGGAAATGTTGAAGGAGGGGGGGAGATGGGGGTCCGCTGGCAGAGTGAGGCCTCCTCGGAGGGACTTTCAGGAGGTGTTCGACCAGCTCCTGGGTTGCCGGCATCCGGCGTGACCCGGCAGATCCGGGCAGCGCACCAGAGTCATGACGACATTTAGGGCAGCCATCCAGCGTAACCTGGCACATCCAGGCAGCGCACATTTTCGGCATCGGCAGGGGCGGCATGTCCGCCCTCAGAGGGGGAAAAAATATCGATGCCGATTACCTTTCCTCGCTTTCGCCTCGGGGCCCCTCGGCGTCACGGCTGGATTCATCTCGGAATTCTGGTCAGAGCGCACCCTAAGAGGTCGTGGCAGTCATTAGCGGTATCGGTACTTTTTTTCCTCGAGGTCCTCTCGCTTTATTACTTGCTACCAGAACTCCCAGCCGTCTCTCGCTTGACTCGCTGCATCCGGCGTGACCCGGCAGATCCGGGCAGCGCACCAGAGTCATGACGACATTAAGGGCAGCCATCCAGCGTAACCTGGCAAATCCAGGCAGCGCACATTTTCGGCATCGGCAGGGACGGCTTGCCCGCCCTCAGAGGAGGAAGACACACCGATGCCGATTACGTTTCCTCGTTTTCGCCTGGGGGACCCTCGGCGTCACGGCTGGATTCACCTCGGAACTCTGGTCAAAGCGCACCGTCAGAGGTCGTGGTCGTGTGCTTCTCGCTGTTTCGTGTCTCCAGCGGGGGCCCTGATCGACTTTGCACTCCTGGAGCATCTTTGGAGCTTTCTGGGGGCATTCGGAGGCCCTATAGCCCTATAGCCCTGCAGCCCTATAGCCCTATATTCCTAGAGCCCTAGAGCCCTATAGCTTTATAGCCCTATAGCCCTATAGCCCCATAGCTCTAAAGCCCTATAGCCTACATAGCCCTATAGCCCTACAGCCTTATAGCCCTATAGCCCTAGAGCCCTAGAGCACTATAGCCCTATAGCCTTATAGCCCTATAGCCGTACAGCCCTATAGCCCTATAGCCCTATAGCCCTATAACCCTTTAGCCCTATAGTCCTGTAGCCCAATAGCCCAATAGCCCATATAGCAATGTAGTCCGATATTCCTTCACATCTATATCCCCATACCCGTATAGCTCCATAGCCCTATATCCCTGTAGCCCTATAGTTCTATAGGCCTATAGCCCTATAGCCCTATAGCCTTATATCCCTTTTGCCCTTGAGCCCTAGAGCCCTATAGCCGTATAGCCCTATAGCCCTATAGCCGCATAGCTCTATAGCCCTATAGCCGCATAGCTCTAGAGCCCTATAGCCCTATAGCCCTACAGCCCATTCAGACTCCAACTCAGATTCTCTGATTCCCTGACTGAGTCTTCCGCATACCGCTCACACCCAGATACAGTAACAGTGTGCTCAGTCATATTCAGACTCACACGCGAAGACACATTCACATTCAGACTCACTCACATTCAGAGTCGCTCAGCCTTCACGTTGAAGGCCGTGTCGGCCGTCTTGATGTCCATCCTGGTCCATACTCGTTGTCGTGCTGGCCGTCCCCGACCTTGTTGGGGGCACCTTGGGCTGTCTTGGGGCACTCTTGGGGGCCTCTGATCTTGAGGCCATTTTGGGAGCCTCTTCAGCCGACCTTATTGGGGTCACCTTGGGCTGTCTTGGGGCGCTTTGGGGGGCCTCATCGCGAGACCATCTTGGAGCCTTTTGGGGTCTTTTCAGGGAGCCCGCGGGAGGCTTTTCTTTTTCTCGGGGGCCATCTTGGGGGGAAAGGTTCAAAATGCCAGTTCGTCTTTCCCATCGGGGGCTTGTTGGGGGCGCTCGCCATTTTCGCGGGTTCGTGGGAGGATCTTTGGGGCCTTCTTGGGGCCTCTTGGGGCTACTTTGGCCCGTCTGTGAGATTCGTTCCTGTCTTCGCAGCACCGCTGCTATATCATTTGAATTTATTCGGAGGCATTCTGGGGATATCTTTTCATGCGCGTGGGCGAGCTGCGCCATTTTGCAGGCCTGCCGGGTCACTTTTGGGTCTGCGGAGGCATTTTTGGGAGCCTCTTCTGGGCGTCCTACTGTCACTGTGGAGGCATATGGGGCCGTCGTGGACGCCAAGAGCCCTGCAGATGAAGGCTGTCCATCTGAAAGAGAAGGCAAGGTGGAAGTCCCGCAGCCACTTCGGACCAAGGTGTTCTCTCAGGCAAGCGAACTCGCGTTGACTTCCTCAGCATGACCTCGTTCCTCCAGTCGGCCGGAATGCCATGGAATGCCATGAGGAAACGATTGGCGCCACGGGAGTGGCCGTCATTGTCGGAGAGCGCCGACGCGGAGCTCCCCGATTTCGATTTGCGTCTGTGCGAAGTGGCCAATGATCCTCTCTCGGTCGTTCAGGGCTTCCGCGTCGCCGTGAACGTGATCTTGGGCCGCCTCCTGGGTCTGCGGTTGTGCGCCGAGTGCGGCGTCGCGCGAAGATATCGTAGGCAGCCCCGGTGCTGTTGCACGGACAAGTTCGGCTCCAACTCGCGCCCCATGGGCGGGATTTTCGGGGTTGCTGCAGCTTTGCTTGGCGCCGTCGAGAACCAGCACCTAGGCACGCTCCACTTCCACGGGTTCGTGTACCTCGCGAACATGTTCCAGCACGCACCCTTGACTGAGATCGCGAGGACAATTCGGGAGTCCCCTGGCTTGGCGGACGCGGTGAAGGAGTGGCACGCGTGGGTCCACAGGGAAGAGCACTGGGCCCCCGAGGAGCACCGGGAGAGCCTACCGTCGCTGGAGTCTGAGTGGCGGCAGAATCACCGCGCATCGGAGCACGTAGGTCTGTGTCGGTGGCCCGCGTATGTGGACCATGCCGAGCCGAAGACGAAGTGGGACGAGGGGTGCGATGCCGTTGCCTGCGACGCCGACGCGGCCACCTTCAAGCAGGCTTACGAGGCAGATGCGCAGATGATCTTCTCGAAGGTCCAGCATCGCCACCATCCCAACGGGAAGCCGCTCACACACTGCATCAAGAAAGGCTGCAAACACGGCGACAAGTGCAAGCACGGCTTCCCGAAGACCATGCTCATGGCGGCCCCAGATGGACCGAGATTCCGCGTTGTGTGCCCTCAGGTGGCCAGGGAAGTCGGGCTTAAAGTGAACGGGCCGAGGAATGCGTTGGGCGAGATCGCGGGGCCTCGGAACGACGATTTCCTGAGCGGGACTTGTCCAGCATTGGCGGTGGCATTTCGGAGCAACACGCACACGGCGCCGAACAACCGGCTCCCGCTGATCACAGGCATTACTCACGACCCGAACTGCCTGTGTCGACACGGCTCCAGAGAAGACACAGAAGAAGGGCACCTTCGACGCATCGCATTCGCGGTGCAGCGGTCCATGTCGAACTCCTCGCGGTACATCGGCGGGTACATTTCCAAGGTGCAGCGCGTCGGGAAGAAGGCGCGGGAACTGGCGAAGACCTGCCTGTCCACGCTGGCCGAGCGACTCCATGGGAAGTCCGAGATGCAGCAGACGCTCAACACTGTGCACCGCTGCATCGGGGACTGGGAGGCCAAGGGCGTGGCGCGGACGATCTTCGAGGAGGTGAACTTGGCGCACTTCGCGGACAGGCCGAACCCGCTCGCAGCGGAGTGCATCACGTCGTGCCCTGTCGCCGACTTCTACGCGGGCTGCTTCCTCCAGATCGTGGCCGACGAGACTCGGGCGGGGCGCGCGACGGCGCGGCGCCAGAAGAGGTCCGTGGTGTTCACGGACGCAGGCGAGGTGGCCACTCCGCCGGACGCGACGGCGCGAGCGTACGCCTACCGACCCAATCATGCCGAGTTGAAGACTTTGCGCCCGTACGAGTTCGTCCGCTTGTTCGAGGTGGTACCAACGTACCCGCCACCAAGAGATGCTTCGAAGCCATCGACGGGCCCGACGGAGTGGAAGGCGAATTCGCCGCCGGCCGCGGCTGATGGGCCTCCACGGCCTGGGGTCCATTATGTCGTGAAGCCACCCGCGGAGGGATGCAGGTACTTTGCGCTCGAAGAAGACCCAGACGACATGGAGTTCGCGCACATGTACGTGATTGTACCCCGGGGCGTCCCCGCGCTACCCGTCTTCATCGGGTCCGTCATGCCTTAGCCCGAAATGACGCCTGAGCGCCGCAGCGCCATTTTGTCTGCGTACTTCCGACCATGGACATTGGTGTGCAAGTACGGATCTTCTCGGGGGCCTGTTCCGCTAGCGAAGAATCTGAACTTGCCGCCCAAGCGCCAGCGCTGTGGGAGGAGCGCGCCGAGCTTCCGAGTAGCCCTCAAGCACTACCTTCGCGGCCACATCGTCTCGCCGTCCAACCGCATCCTGTGGGCGAACGTGCTCCGCACCATGACGACGATGCCGGAGAACGCCGACGAGGGCGAGGACGACCAGGACTCGAAGCCGGTGGAGGCGCTACCCGAGAACGCGTTTCCGGTCCTCAGCCCCAGCAGCATCATGGCAGAGTTACGGCGAGTAGACCGAGACGCCGGGGCAGATGCCGCTGGCGAGGACATTGGGAACCTCTCCCATTCGGTGCACAAAGCGCTGGAGCAGAGCATGTCCTTCTGGGACCCGCCGAACAGGGCGCCCACGTTGAACTTGCCACTGCGACAGTCTGCTCTTCGGCATTCCAGTGCAATGCCAGCGGGGGCTCGCGGGAATGCCCAGGAGCCACCGCGGAAGATTGCGCGCTCCAAGATGCGGGAGAAGCTGTACCCTGGCGACGCTGACCTGACAAGCAACATCCAGAGCTGGCGGAGAGGACCGGGGGGGGGCAATCTCGAGACGTGCAGTTGGCAAAAGCACGATCTGGATGCAGTTCGGTCGGGGGCGCCCGATTCGTCTCGCTCTGGAAGAAGATATCGAGGATGGAAACCTCGGCGTTTGAGCTGGCGTGTATCGAACAGAGTTTGTACAGAGCATGTGCAGAATGTGTACACAGCATGTATACTCCAGAACGTCATGTCGTAAGTGGTGAGTAGATCCAAGTATGGGGAAGGTTGATTACAAGCGAGGCTTCGTGTATACACTTAGAAGGATGGCGCTGCGTTTGCTTGCATTGCCTCGGTCGCGCCATGCGTGCTCTGTGGAAGGTGCGCGTACGCGTCTACATGTGCACGCGCGTATAGTGTGTGTATGTATAAACATGGACTTCCCAGATGTATACACGTCTGGGCATGCCAGGCAGGTGGCGCGGCACGTGTGATGTGTAGCAGACAGAGTTGTGCAGCAGTCGTCGGTAAGGTGGGTAGTGTGAAGGGAGGGAAGGCCATGCGCATCCCTGCCCGATCGCAGGACTGCAGACGCACCAGATCACCCCCGACCCGCAGCAGATGAGCATCCTGGACGCCGTCGCCGACAGGTGCGTCCAGGAGGCCCGCGAGCAGGACCAGCTGCGCGGATCGCCATGCTCCCGGCTGTTCGTTCTCGGCCTGCCGGGTTCAGGGAAATCGGAGGTCATCCGGTGGCTGTGCGAGGAGGGCGTGGGGCTGTTCCCCACGTGCATGGGATGGGAACACGAGGTGCACTTCATCAAGACCGCCCCCATGAATTCCATGGCGAGCAACATCGGTGGGCGAACCATCCACAACTTCAGCAAGCTCGGAATCGACCTCATCACGGGAGTCCAGTCCGGCGGGAAGAAGGACCCGGAGTTGTCGGAGAACATGCTGCACACGAAAATCCAGCACATGCGCTGGCTCATCATCGACGAGGTGGAGAACGTTTCGGTGGAGTTGCTGGACGCCGTGCACAGGCAGGTGAAGGACTCGACGAGGGACAAGGGAAACCCCTGGGCCGTGGACGCACGCGTTCCAAAACAGTTCGCCATGTTCGGAGGGCTCAACCTGGTGCTGCTCGGGGACTTATGGCAGATACCGCCCGTCAGGAGTCTCAGTATTGCCGCCAACCCATTTGTCAAGAGACCCGCCAACGTCGGCCGCATACTGGAGATGTTCTGGACAGAGGGCTTGCCGCACCCGGTGACTAACCGCTACGCCCTGGCCCAGTCGCACCGCTGCTCAGACGTGTGGTGGAGAAGCTTTCTCGCCGAAGCGCGCGCTGGGAATCTGTCGGACAGGATGTACGATTTCGTCCACGGCTTCCCCACTGATGTGCCCGGCTCCTGGATGCCCGCAAGCCCCGGCAGCGCCGAGGCCTCGACGGGGCACTTCGGCTGCGGGAAGGCGAAGTGCCGCGCGCTCTGGTCAGTTGAGTGGCCACGGATGTTCGGAGAAGGTCGGGCCTGGGAGGACATGAAATCCCTGGAGTGCGCTGAGTGCAGCGCGGAACGCCATCGGCGCTGCGGCGTCGCCTCTCAGAGCGATGCCAGACAGCGGGAGGTGAGCACGGCGTTCGCGGACGCGCTGTTCGTGCACCCGTACAACGCCCCGAAGAGCAGGATTCTGACGCTGCGAGCGGCGAATGCAGCAGCCAATGCTGGGAAGCAGCTCCTCTGGGTGGTGGCGCGCGATGTCCCCCTCACTCGGGACGACGCATGCAGGTCGACGGAGTCGCTCTCCCACGCCAGGCAGAACTGGCTCATGTACCCCGAGAACAAGACTGGCGGAGTTCCGGGTGTGCTGCCGATCTTCGAGGGGATGCGGGCGCGGTTCACCGCCACGGAGAATGCGGAGGCGGGAGCCTGCAAGCACTCCTGGGGTACCGTGACGGGCTGGGTCCTCCACCCCGACGACTCGAAGTTGGTGAAAGACCACAGGTCCGAGCCGGAGCTGGTCCTGCAGCACGTGCCCGAGGCGATCATGGTGCAAATTCCCGGGAACACGGCGCCCCGCTTTGGGAATCAGCCCGCGGGCGTCTTCCCCGTGAAGCAGAGGGAGGTGTCCTGGGATCGCAGTCCCGGCTTCAAGGCCATGGTGAAGCGCGCGGGGTTCCCGCTGGTCCCGCACTTCGCCGCCACGGCCCACTGCGTCACCGGCGCCACGCTGCCGCAGGCCATTATCGACCTCCTGGACGCGCGCACGACGCCCCGCGCAGCCATGGTCCCCACGGGCTACGTGGCCATCAGCCGCACCAGGAGGGCTGACGATCTGATCATCACGCAGCCTTTTTCGCCCATGCTTTTCCGCCAGGGGCATCAGACGGGCCCATGGCTCTTGCACTCCCTGACAGCCGGGGAGATGACGACGGAGCAGGCGGAAGCCGGCTGGGCCAAGGCAGAGAAGGAAGCCGCGTCCAGGTCGTCCAAGAAGCTGGTGGACGTCACTTTCCAGCGCGCCGACTGCCACCAGCGGAAGAGAGCGGGCAACTTCCCAGGACGTGGCATGAGAGCGAGCGACCCCGTGGAGCACGCCGTGGCAGTCCTGAGCCAGGGCGCGTGGAGGAGGTGCGCCCTCTGCGCGCAGAAGCAGGCCGGAAAGGATGTGCAGAGGCCTGCCCCTCTGCCCGGCGAGCTCCGTTGCTTTGAATGCGGCAAAGCCAGGCGCGTCTCGGAGTACGACAAGAAGATGTTGGAGCAGTTGCGCTCAGATGACGCCCTCGAGAGAGCGGTGTGCCTGGCGTGTCGCCCCGCGCAACTGCACCGGCCACCGTCGAGGACAGGTGCGCTGTACACGTGCTTCCAGTGCGGGGGCCTGAAGGGCATGGAGCACTTTGACCTGGGCCGGCTGAATATGCATGGGGGGCCCGAGTGCGTTGTGTGCAAGGAGTGCTTCGACCTGCGCATGCGCCCTCCTTGCGGGAAGTGCGGGGCGAGGCCAGAGAGGAATCTGCATTACAGCCAGAGTAATTACCAGTGTGAGGCCTGCAGATTCCCGAATTGCGACGTCTGCAAGGTAGTCCCGCGGCCGCGCAGCACGAAGTATCTGGCGGCCAACAGGCCGTCGTGGACGTGCCCGGCGTGCCCGCGGGTCGGTCAGTGCGTGGCCTGTGGCGCCCCGTCACCAGACGCGGCCAAAACTGGTCGGCGTTCTGCGAACTGGGAAGGGCCGAGGTACACGTGCGACGCGTGCCTCTGGCCGCCATGCAGCGCGCGCAAGAAGGCGCCGCGGCCGCACGACCGCCGGTGGACAGTTCGCGTTGCCCCGGACTGGAAATGCGCAGATTGCGCGAAGACGCGCAAGCGAGGGAAGAGGTGCGCGTAGTCAAATAATATCATTCCACCTGCCGCTATCATCAGGGACGTCGTCGTCATCGTGTCCAGTTGCGGGCAGAGGCCCGCCTGCGTCTTCGTCGCATGTGTCATCCGCTCGGTGGCAATTTTGGAGGCAGTTTGGGCCGCCATGCCTCCCTCTTGGGGACTTCTTGGGGCCCCTTGAGGGCCTCTTTGGGGCCTCTTGGGGCCTCTTGGGGGCGGCTTGGGCCGTCTTGGGGGGTTCTTGCGCCGTTTCGCCCCTTCGGAGACCGTCTTGGGGGCCTCCCGCGGCCGCCGTGGGGCTCCCTTGGGGTTCTTTTGGGCCGTCTTAGGGGCATCTTGGACCGTCTTGGGGGTTTCTTTCGGCCGTATTGGGGCCCTCTCGGGCCGTCTTGGGGCCCTTCTGGGGGCTTCTTGGGCAATTCTGGTGCCATTTTGGAGGCTGCTTGGGCCGTCATTGGCTTGTCAGAGTCGAGAAAGGCGAGGTCGCCCAAATCTTCCCAAAACTATAGGACAATCACTGATTTTGGCCTCTGGAGGCGGTCTTGGTGGGTCCTCTGGGGGCCCTAATGCGGCGTCTTGGAGGCTTGTTGGCTCTCTTGGGGCCATCTTGGGTCGTCCTGAGGCCGTTTTGAGACTCCCTTGGGCCGCCTTGGGGCCATCTTGAGCCGTCTTGACGCCCCTCGTGGGCTCCGAGGAGGGTCCAGCTGCCAACATCAATGATTTCCGTAGGTTATTGTTGGTTGTTGAATTAGTGGACGAAAGGGGTCGGCGACTCGGCGGCGGCCCTGGGGGGGGATTAAGGGGGGGAGACATAGTAATGTAACATGATACAATATGTAGAAATTGTGCAGTCGTGGGATACATCGGATACGTTGCATTAAGGCGTTCGCCGAAAAACGCTGCCGCTCAGCACGTCACCTCCGGACGTGGATTATTTAGCTTACGCCGCACCGCCAACCCCTTGGAGGAGAGTCGCTGTTGCGGCTTCTGGCCGCTGCGTGACTTGAGCGGCCTCGGAGGCCCTTCAGATCGTTCCAAGACGGCCCACGAGGCCCCCAAGAGGGCCCAAGACGGCCCAAGAGGCTCCCCAGACGACCCAAGTGTGCCCCAAGAGCGCCCGAAGAGGTTCCCAGAGGGGCACCGCGAACCGATATTTCGAGGTCTCTGGCCCTAGAGGCCCCCAGTAGGCACACGGAGGCCACCAAGAGGCTCCCACGAAGCCCCGTGAGGCCCCCAAGAAGTTCCCAGGAAGCCTCAAGAGGCCCCAAGGGGCCCCCAGGGAACGCAAAACAACACATCATGTTCCCGGAAAGTTGTCCGGGGACATGTTTCATCATGGGCCCGAGAGTCTCCGGAGGCTCCGAAGTACCATCGCGCTACCAGACAGTTGTCTGGAAAGTTGGCTGGGAGCATGACTGATCGCTTTCTCGTGGCCCTCTTGTGGATCGTTTCGCGCAAAATTACCCCAAGTGCCCTCTTGAACCGACGACGACGAAGACGACGAAACGACGAAGACGACGACGACGACGACGACGACGACGACGACGACGACGACGACGACGACGACGACGACGACGACGACGGCGCGCCCCAAGAGGCGACGACGACATGACGACGACGACGACGACAAACGACAAACGACGACGACGACGACGACGACGACGACGACGACGACGACGACGACGACGACGACGGCACGCCCCAACAGGCTCAAAGACGCCCCCTTAAACCATGTTCCCAGAAGGTCTTTTGGGAACCCGATTCATCAGGCCTCCGCCCCCCTACGCAGCCATCTTCCCCGAAAGCCTTCCACAATGCGGATTGACATGCATGGATTTCTCATTGCCCATAATGCGTTCAGCGTTGTGGGCACTTCACTTTCCGCTCACACCAGCTGTGGTCCACGTACTTCAGTGGAGCAGTGAACTTGTCAAGGCCTGGGTAGAACCTGGGCGTGCGCGAAGCGCGAGCGATGGTTCTAGCACTTATATATACCGTAGCACCCCGCAATTGCGGATAAGAGTGAGGGGGCGGGCGCGGGCGACGCGGGCGTCGTCGAGCCGGCGGACCTCGTGGCCCCCACCTTCCTTGTCGATGGCGCTCTCCTCCACCTCCTCCTCCTCCTCCTCCTCCTCCTCTCCTCCTCTTCCTCCTCCTTCTCCTCCTCCTCTTCCTCGTCCTCATCGTCATCGTCATCCTCCTCCTCCACCTCGTCCTCCTCCTCCTCCTCCTCTTCTTCCCCGTCCTCCCTCTACCCCCCTCGTCTTTTCATCATGGTCCTCCCATTGTCGTCCTCCCCCTCATCGGCCTCCATCATCGTCCTCCCATTGTCGTCCATCATCATCATCCTCCCCATCCTCCCCCTCCTCGTCCTCTTCCTCCCCCTCCTCCCCCTCGTCCTCCTGCTCCTCCTCCTTTTCTTTCTCCACGTTCTCCTTACATCCTCTCTTCTTCCACGTTCTCCTCGTCCCCTGTTTACTCATCCTGCCTCCCCCTCCTTTCCAAAGATAACTGCAACGCAATCCTTTTTTCCACTTTATGCTCCCCGCCTTCTCTGATCAAGGCAACTCGCCAGGGCAAAGTTGCTGGACGGGCTGGCGTGGATGTGCGGGGCGTGAAGAGGTCCTTGCGGGCTCAGACGGCATGCAAGAATCCGCCGCCGCGCTTGTGCGGCATTGGTTTGTTCAGTGAACGTGGTTTAGGTCGCGGGTGGGTCGCGGGCTCCCCACCTCCACCTGGAAGGAATGCAAAAGCAGCCCGCCGCAAGCGCCAAAAAAATTGGTTCGTACAGGAACGAAGTTTGGGTCGCGAGTGGGCCGCGGGTTCTCCACAGGGAACGGATGCAAAGGATGCCCGCCGCAGGCGCCGAAAATGTGGTTTGTACCCTGAACGTGGTCGCGGGTGGGCCGCGGGCTCTCCACCTGAAACGAATGCAAAACATGCCCGCCGCAGGCGCCGAAAAATGTGGTGTGTACCCTGAACGTGGTCTGGGTCGCGGGTTGGTCGCGAGTTGGTCACGGGATGTGTCGCGGGCTCTCCACTTGGAAGGAATGCAAAAAAAACCCGCCGCAGGCGCCGAAAATTGTGGTTTGTACCTTGAACGTGGTTTGGGTCGAAGGTGGGTCGCGGGTGGGTCGCGGGGTAGGTCGCGGCGGGTGGGTCGCGGGTGGGTCGCGGGTGGGTCGCGGGGTGGGCCGCGGGGGGGTCGCGGGGTGGGTCGCGGGTTGGGTCGCGGGGTGGGTCGCGGGGTGGGTCGCGGGGTGGGTCGCGGGGTGGGTCGCGGGTGGGTCGCGGGTGGGTCGCGGGTGGGTCGCGGGGTGGGTCGCGGGGTGGGTCGCGGGTGGGTCGCGGGGCGGGTTGCGGGTGGGACGACGACAACAAACAACAACAACAACAACAACAACAACAAACAAACAACAACAACAACAACAAGAATTCGCACCGCGGAATGCCACATCAGCCACGCACCCAGGGACAGTGAATGACCGTTCGGCCCCCTCACTCTGATATATATATATATGTACAAGACAGCATTGGCGCTTCGCGCCACGCACCTTGGTCCTTCAAATTTGGTATGCAGGCGGAATGGCAGGAAAGTCAGGCCTACAACTTAGCGATAACTCCTTGTTGCCTTTTCCGGCATCGCCGTTACAGTAATGTTCTCCGTTTTCTTTCCTCCATGTTTTTTTCATTCTCGCCATACCTTGCGTATTCCCCCCATCCTTCTCAGCTCTTTTTGCGGAGGCTCCTCCTTGGAGAGCCTCTGGGGGCCTCACAAAAGTTTTTCGGGTTTTCTCAAAGCCTTTTGAAGGCCTCCGGGGCGTCTTCTGGGGGCCTCTGGAGGCTTCCTCGGGCCACCTTGCCTCCAACTGCGTTCTCTCTGAACGACCGGGTCACGATTTGGAATGCTTCGGAGGGCGTTTTGGGGCCATTTTGGGCAGTCATGGTGTTGTCTTGGGCCAATTTGGAACCCTGTTGTGCCGTTTTGGGGCTCTCTTGGACTGCCTGGAAGCCCTTTCGGATGGTTGTGGGGCGATCTTCGAGCTTCCCAGGCGGCTTCGGACGCCCAGGAGACCGCCGTCTTGGAGCGCCAGATCACCGAAAAGAGGAGAACCCCAACATTCGCCAAAAACCAACAGAAAATTAGCCTGGCGAAGGACCCAACCATATGCAGTTGTGAATGCCGCAATTGTGCTGGGTGGTGGCGGACGCATGCGGGCGGTGCCACTGGGGCCTTCGGTGGAGCTCCCTATGGGACCACGAAACGCTGTACTGGGTGGGTGAGACGCGGTCAGCAAGGGCTGTGCTGCGTGGTGGCGGACGCATGCGAGCGGTGCCACTGGGACCTTCGGTGGAGCTCCCTATGGGGCCATGAAACGCTGTACTGGGTGGGTGAAACGCAGGCAGGGAGCAAGGGCTGCGCAGGGTGGTGGCGGACGCATGCGGGCGGTGCCGCTGGGACCTTTGGTGGAGCTCCCTATAGGGCTACGAAGCGCTGTTCTGGGTGGGTGAAGCGCAGGGAACAAGGGCTGTGCTGGGTGGTGGCGGACGCAAGCGGGCAGTGCCACTGGGACCTTTGGTGGAGCCCCCTATGGGGCCACGAAACGTGCGAGGGGTGTGCCAGAATGGGGTGTGGAACCGCATGCCAGCGCAGCCACTGGGGCCTTCGGTGGAGCTCCCGATGGAGCCACGAAACGTGTGAGGGGTGTGCCGAAATGGGGGTGGAACCGCATGCGAGCGCAGCCACTGGGGCCTTCGGTGGAGCTCTCTATGGGGCCACGAACCGTGTGAGGGGTGTGCCGAAATGGGGGGGGGAACCACATGCGAGCGCAGCCACTGGGGCGTTCGGTGGAGCTCCCCATGGAGCCACCCACGAAGCGTGTGAGGGGTGTGCCGAATGGGGGGTGGAACCGCATGCGGGCGCAGCCACTGGGGCCTTCGGTGGAGCTCCCTATGGGGCCACGAAACGTGTGAGGGGTGTGCCAGAATGGGGGGTG